ACGACATCCCGGCGGCGCAAGGCAAAGAAGCAACATCCACCACCACAAGCAGGGGAGGGCCATGGGGCCAATGATGGCGGGAAGTTATCTCCCGAACAGCCGCCTGCGCCGAAGGCAGAGGAGCAGGAGGAGGGGGAGAGCGAAGTTCGAAGTGACGACGTTGTCTCGGGGCCTCTGCCGCCGCCATCGCCACCTTCACAGTCGAGCGTGAGTGCCCCTGCCGAGGAAGGCGAGGCTAATGCGGTGGTCGGTGCGCCTGAAGGCGCCGGAGCGGAGCAGCCTCCTGTCCTCGAAGCGAAGGACGCCGCCCCAACCTCGGCAGCGGGTCCAGGCGCCAGCCCTCCCGTGCGCAGTGATGCTGACGAGGCTCCCACGAAGAGCACCCCTGGCACTGCGCCGCATGGCACAGTTCAACCTACCGCTGCGGAGGCCGAGAAGGCGACACAGGGCGTTGACGACGCAGTGGGCAATAAAAACGCCCCAGCTGGCGCGCAAGAAACCCCCCAAGCACGCGACGCGTCACCACCCGCTGGCAGCAGCTCCACTGCTTCCCAGCACAGTGCTGACGTGAAGCCCAGCGAGGGAAAAGGGGACGGCACGCTGCGTGGGTGCGTGTCTCGGCTATGGCTGCTTGCTCTGCTGGGGCTGTGGGTCATGACGGCTCTCTGCTGAATGCAAGAGGGGAGTGTGGACTTGTAACCCCTCGTCTAAAATGTGTGTGCCGTGGTCCCAGCGGGTCTCCTCATTTATATATCCTTTTGTTTGTTTTGTTTTGTTTTTGTCTATTCCCCTCCTCCTTTCTCTTTGGGCTTTGCTGGAATAACCAGCACCCTATGGTCGCTTTTGCTTTTGCTTTCTGCTCCAATGATTGCTCGCTATACGCGCTGTTAAGAGTGACGAGTCTATTCCCTCTTGTTTGCCCCTTTTTGTTTGTTGCCCACACACGCGATGGCGGCCGCGCTGCTGTGCGCCGCACGGATGCGACGCAACTGCCGGGCGGGAGCGCAGGCCGAAGGCCGCATGAAATGTGCGGGAGGTGCAAATGTGTGGGCTCCTGCAACAGGGCTATGCTTTCCTTTTCTTTTTTCTTCGTGCAGGTAGTAAAATGTACACACTCACTCACAGTCCTCTTGTGCTGCTGGACACGTGGGAGTAAAGAAACACCTGCCGAAGCAATTCTTTTTTGTTTGTGTTTCCCCTGAGTTCTGCTGGACTTCAACCTCTTTGTTTTTGGACTAGTTTTTTTTGTTGTTGGGGTAACGCACTGCGGCCCACTTTTAG